GGAATCTGTCCAAGAACTCCAATCGTCTTTGAGGAGAAATAGAGGCACTGATGCATATATGACTTCAAGGAAAAAGATTGAAAAAATGGTCAAAAAGTGCATCAAAAACTTGAAGAGTCTTGAAAAAAGCTCTACAAACGGAGACAACAATCTTAAGGCCATTGCAATGGTGCTAAAAGAATCACAGGTCATTGGCTTTTCTGTCCTCAAGTCTGCATTGACCATTTTTACATCAAAGCAAAAGACATGGTCCCTGGTATCGAAGTTCACTCAATCAAGCCATGTACATTCTCAAACAGAAGAAGAGAGCAATGCTCAGGAATTGTATGCCTTGAACATCAATAAATTGCGAGAAGACATGGACACACTATCTGGGCAAGATGTCATGAAGCAGTTGAATGCATCAGAAATGACTATTCAGGAACTTGAAGAGAACTTAGAAGCCTTCTTTAGGAGTTTAGTCAAAATTAGAGTTTCACTTCTTAATGTCCTAAGCTATTAGCCTTAATTCAGGGATATGATCAATTTTGAAAATCATTGTCAATACTTATAAAATACAATCAATACTTTTGATCCTTCGACACATTTCTGTTGATCTGCTTGTCCATATATGTACTGAATTGCTTTTCTTTTCAAAATTTTATCTCAACCAAACATATAAGTAAATTTACTTCAGGCCAGAACTTTCACCATTTATATTAATTTCAATGTTCCATAATAGTCTGTGCATCTGTTTTAAGTTATTTTAGCCCATTCTAAACACGATGGGCACCAACAATTAGTTCAAATACATGGATAGTTTAACTTAATTATTAACGAAGACAACGTATATGATTAATTCATTGATGACAATAGATAATGCAATAGCCAGAAGCAATTATATATAGTGCTAGGTTGTCAATATTCTTCGTGTTCTTAGACTAATAATTATTTAGGTTAATCTGCATGATTGTAATTCTGTACAATTAAAGGATTCCATTCGTTTTTAGCAGGTTAATGTGTACCCATGTGTGCACTACCTATTCCTTCATTGTCAAAAGATAAGCAGCACCCCAGCCTTAATAAGTTGAAGGACCAACATTACTGAATCAACTTCATTGTTGTCAAGATTCTTACTGTGACCTGTGTAAAAAAAAAAAAAAGATGGGAATGAAAATAATTTTCATTTTTATTGAATTGATTTTGTGTACACATATATTATTACAGCTTACATATTACAGCCCGAAATTACAGCACATAATCAATCACAGAAATCAAGCACAGAAATCAAGCCGGCATTCTCCATAAACATTGTTTCCATTACAAGAACTTTACCATGTATAGACCTAGGATTCATGTATAAATACTGCACTGTAAATCACCAAAGACACACAAGAATCTATTCTTCTTTCTCTTCATCAATTTCCCTCCTTATCTATCTTATCATGGTATCAGAGCGGGTTCCCCTCTGAATTCTCCAAAATCTGCAAACTCCAAAATCTGCAAACGGTGAAAACGAGTCACCATGTCTAATCCCACACCCTCACAACTGATTAGAGATCTCACATCCCCTTACTTCCTGACCCCTGCTGACAACCCAGGAACTATACTCGTCCCTGACCTCCTTAATGGAGAAAACTATGCTGCCTGGAAACGTTCGATGCGTATGGCACTCAATGCCAAAAACAAATTCGTTTTCGTCGATGGTACTCTAAAGAAACCGTCCGACACTGAAGTTGCCAATCTTTGGGATCGTTGCAGTGACATGGTTCTTTCTTGGCTTCTAAATTCCATCGACAGACATCTCCGACAAAGTCTAATCTACTGCACCAAGCCATTTGATGTTTGGGCTGATCTTGAAAACCGTTTTTCCCAGAGTAATCACCCCCGTCTCTATCGCCTCCAACGTGATCTGGCCAACCTCAAGCAAAACAACATGCCTGTCACGACATACTACAACACCATTAAGGGAATGTGGGATGAAATCACTGCCCTAATTGATCCAAATCCTTGTACTTGCGATGCTCGTAAAAGGACCGAAGACAACGCCAATACAGAATAGCTTTTTCAATTCCTCATGGGCCTTAATGATACCTTCTCCAACGTTCGCAGTCAAATCCTCGCCATGGATCCACTACCCACTATTTCCAGAGCATATGCCACCGTACATCAAGAAGAAACCCAACGGCTTCTGCAGGTTCTTCTATTGCCGACTCCTGAAAATTCTGCCATGGCCGTCGGACGCACTAGAACCCCAATCACCAACGGACCACGCCCTCGTACTGGTAGAAAATGCACAAAATGTGGAAGGGATGGCCATCAGGAGTCCTCATGCTTTGAAATTATTGGCTACCCCCTCACTGGAACACCAACAAACCAAAGCAGCCTATACGCACGAACCACGGCTCGGCCACTCAGCGATCCCACACAGCGAATTTGGTGTCTAATGACCCAATTCCTTCCTCCTCGAGTGCTATTCCAAGGCTATCTAATGAGCAATACCGACAATTAATGGAGCTTCTGCAACCCAGCACCAATATTGCCTCCGTCGCCTCTGCCAATTCATTCTCTGGTAATCACTTCTCAATTGAAAATTCCCCTTTAATTGGACAAATGGGTTGGGTAATTGATAGTGGGGCTTCGGCCCATGTCTCTTCCTTATCTAACTTAAAATGGGCCAAGAATGTTTCGGCCCACTCTCAATTTCTCACATTACCCACTGGTTACAAGGTCCAAGTAACACATATGGGCCAAATTCCAATTTCCCCTCACTTGTGTCTTCATAATGTTCTCTTTGTCCCTAATTTTAATTATAATTTAATTTCGATTAGTCAACTCACAAAATCATCAAACTGTACTGTCACCTTTTTTTCTTCCACTTGTTTATTTCAGGACCAACACATGAGGAAGCTGATTGGGATGGGTGAAGAACATGAAGGTCTCTATCATCTTAAGCATTTCACTCCAACCGCACTTCAAATCACGAGCAATCCCACAATAACTCATGACCTATGGCACCTTCGTTTAGGTCATCCTTCACACTCTTGCGTTCCAAAATTTCCATGTAGTTCAAATAAAATCACTCATTGTGATAGCTGTATTCGAGGCAAACACACACGCCTCCCTTTCAAATTAGTAGAAAATAAAAGTACTTTTATCTTTAACCGCATTTATTGTGATATTTGGGGAGGATATTCCACACCATCTATAACTGGTGCACACTACTTCCTTACCATTGTAGATGATTTCTCACGTGTTACATGGGTATACCTCATGCGTTTTAAATCTGATGCATTTACCTGTCTTACCACATTTATTAAAATGGTTCACACACAATTTAACTGCCATATTAAGCATGTTCGATCTGATAACGGCCAAAAATTCCTTTCTCATTGCATACAACAATTCTTCCTTGACCATGGCATCATCCACGAAAGGACTTGTGTTGACACACCTCAGCAAAATGGTGTAGCTAAACAAAAACATCGTCACCTACTAAATGTAGCTCGATGTCTTCGCTTTCATGCACATCTTCCTATTTCATTTTGGGGTGAATGCATACTCACTGCTACATACTTAATTAACCGCATACCAACCCCACACCTCAATAACAAATCTCCATACGAGCTTCTTTTCAACAAAACACCCACCTATGATCACCTACGTGTTTTTGGATGTCTTTGTTATGCACACACTTTAAATGCTCATCGGGATAAATTTTCCCCTCGTGGCACCTCATGCATATTCCTAGGCTATTCTCCAACCTCACATACCTACCGTGTTTATGACTTACAAACCAAAAAGATATTTTTGTCTCGTGATGTCCGCTTTGTGGAATCTGTTTTTCCCTTTGCTAATATCATGCCGCATAGTAATATCCCATCACTACCCCTCATGACAACTCCTCCACATTTGAACGATATACACCACAACACCTCAACTCCAATCTATACTCCGCACGACACTACTGCTACATCTTCCCAATCATCACCCCCGCCCGCTATTGAGCAACGTGAAACCCCACAACCAACTAATGATGGTTCTACCAACAATCCAATTACCCCCATATCTTCAACCAGTTCCCCACCACGTCGCCCTCGACGTACTATCACTCGCCCTACATATCTTCAAGATTATATTTGCTCAGATCTACCTCCAGAGGGCCTACGTTCGTCATCCCCTTCTCAGCCTTTCTCAGGTACGGTTCACTCTCTCCCTAATTTTCTTTCTTATCGTTTCTTTAGTCCAAAACATTTTGCTTTTCTATCTTCCATTTCAAAACATGATCAAGACCCTGTACATTACTCACAAGCCATTCTTGAGCTTCATTGGCAACAGGCTATGGCTTCTGAAATTCAAGCCCTGGAAACTAATAACACATGGACCCTCGAACTTCTTCCTCCTGGTAAGAAAGCTATTGGTTGCAAATGGGTTTATAAAACAAAATTGCATGCAAATGGTTCCATTGAACGTCGTAAAGCTCGTTTGGTTGCCAAGGGTTTCACTCAGGTAGAAGGTATTATAATGACACTTTTGCTCCTGTGGCTAAACTTGTTACTGTTCGTTGTCTTCTTGCTATAGCTGCAGCTAAACATTGGATTCTTCAGCAGTTAGACGTTCATAATGCTTTCCTCCATGGTGATCTTGATGAGGAAGTATACATGTGACCACCACCAGGCTATTGTAGTCAGGGGGAGACTCGCGTCTGTCGCCTCCATAAATCCTTATATGGCCTCAAACAAGCCTCTCGTCAATGGTACTCGAAATTATCTCATATCCTCATTCTTGCAGGTTTTAGTCAATCTGCGGCTGATCACAGTCTCTTCACCAACACCAAGGGTACCATCATTACTGTTGTTCTTATCTATGTTGATGATATTTTGGTTGCTGGTAATGACATTTCTGCCATCAATTCCATCAAACGGCATCTTGCTCAGACCTTCAAAATCAAAGATCTTGGTGATCTCAAATATTTTCTAGGGATTGAAGTTGCTCGATCTCCTAAAGGCATTTTCATCAATCAGCGGAAATATACTTTGGACATTCTCTCTGACTCTGGACAACTCAGCTCTCGCCCTGCTTATTTTCCTATGGAACAACATTGCAAACTTAATGACTCGGATGGAGAACTTTTGGAGGATCCCAGTTCATATCGTCGATTGATTGGTCGTTTGATCTATTTGACTATCTCCCGTCCGGATATAACCTTTGCTGTCAACATTCTAAGTCAGTTTATGCACACTCCT